CCCCCCGCCTCCGGACTTGCTGCTCCCAGCCCTGTGGACGCCCCCCCCTTGCCCACTGGCCCTGGGGGAAGAGCCATTCCCAGGACTGGTGTCCAGCCGCCCCCCCACTCCCGACAGGAGCAGGCCTCTGCCGTGTGTGACCTGCTGGCGTATGAGCAGGGCTGCTGCTGCGCGGGGCCGGCTTGGGCTCTGGCTAGAACCATGTGCACCAGCCTTCTTGTGTATCGCACGCCGGGCGCGCACCGGGGGGCGCGGGCAGCACAGCCCAGGCTCCTGAACCGCGTGCAAGCAGAAAGGCAGAGTCTGCGGGGGTCCTGCCTGGGGCGGGGCCGAGCGGGATGTGGCTGGCGTATGAGCAGGGCTGCTGCTGCGCGGGGCCGGCTTGGGCTCTGGCTAGAACCATGTGCACCAGCCTTCTTGTGTATCGCACGCCGGGCGCGCACCGGGGGGCGCGGGCAGCACAGCCCAGGCTCCTGAACCGCGTGCAAGCAGAAAGGCAGAGTCTGCGGGGGTCCTGCCTGGGGCGGGGCCGAGCGGGATGTGGGGCGTTGTGCCCAGTGGTTAGAGCCACAGTCAGCGGGTCAGAGCAGATGGAGGGAGGCAAAGTGGGGCGGGGCAGGAGCAGGAGTTCTCACAGCCATGGGGCAATGCTGTGGGCAGCTGCTGGGCTGCTGACTCCTCCCATCAATGGGGCAGCTTTTGACAAGGCGGCTGAGCTGCGTGGGGCGCCTGGAGCTGGCTGGGCTGCAGCGTGGGGAGGCGAATGGGAGCCGAGGCCAGGGACCGGTGGGTTCTGATTTTCCTCTCTTTGGCCTCTCACCCCAGTGCCTGCCCTCCCTCCCTATGCAGCAGCCTGGCCCTGCTGGGGGCCCTATGCCAGGGCAGGGCGACGGTGCATGTCCGCGGCAGGGCACAGCTGGGGGCACGGCCGACCTCGCTTTCCAGGAGTTTTCCTCTTCTTCAGCCTGATTTTCTTGCCTCGGTTCCATCCCGTTTCTCCGAGCCAGGCCCCGTGTGCCCGATTCCGCCCCCTCCTGGGCGTCTGCACGTTGGGGGCGGGGGGGGGAGGGACCCAGGCCAGCGCCTCGCCGTGACCGGGCGTCACTGCATTGGGGTGGCATGAGAGCCCCAGTTTCCACTGGCGCAGGATCTGCTCCTTGGTACCGACTTAGTGCGTTCTCCAGGGCCCGGGGCGGCTAGTCCCTTGTGTGCGGCTAAAGTTGGGGTTTCCAGGCTCTGGGCCCGCTTGGCTCTAGCTCGGCCAGAAGCGAGGGGCTGGAGTCCCTGGGACGGTTCTCTGGCCGGTGCCACCCAGGCCAAAGGTCCCTCAAGTCGATGGCTGTGAACCGCGATGTCGGTTCGTGCAGGGCCGGGCCCACAGCCCCGGCTGGGAGAGGGGTGGGGCATTCGAGATAGGGCTGGGGGCGCCAGCCTGACCGTGGCGGCTTTCGCAGGTGACGACCCTGCAGCAGGGCCCGGCGCAGAGGGAAGCCCCGGTCGGAGAGGATGAGAAAAGGGGGGAGGACAAGGAGCCAGGGCAGAAGAGTCTGCGGAAGGTGAGGGGCCCTTCAGGGGAGCGGGGTGGCCTGCGCTGTCCCAGGCCTGCAGCGGGGCGGGAACCCGGCGGCGTGGGGGCTTCCGGGGTGGCTTGTTTTCCTCTTTCCCCCCGTGCCTGGGCACAGAGCTGGTTCCCTGACGCTCCGCGATCCTTCTCCTCGCCTCCTGCTCTCAGGACATGCCAGTCAGGGTGCCCCGCTTCTGGGGGAGGGAAGTGGCGTGAGGCCGTGGTGAGAGCCGAGGCTTGGGCCCGCTCCCGCCCCACACACACGGAAGCTCCTGCTCTCAGGACATGCCAGTCAGGGTGCCCCGCTTCTGGGGGAGGGAAGTGGCGTGAGGCCGTGGTGAGAGCCGAGGCTTGGGCCCGCTCCCGCCCCACACACACGGAAGGCTCCATATCCCTCCTCTGGGCCCTCCGGAAGGCGCCAGCCAGGAGGTCGGGGACACGCCCGAGCTCCCGGAGCTGCGGCTGGC